TAGGGGGTCATGTTGGAGAAGCGTATCATGCCTCATTCTCTCCCATTGATTTATAAGACTGGCTGCCAAGGGGCTGAGTCTTACAATGAATGCTGGACACTGGAAATTGGGTGGTTAAGGAAAAAATAACGGGTGAGTCCAATTTTGAGAAAAAAGAACAACGTGATGAAATCCCTCAGTCTACAGCGACAACATTTCATACATTGTGGCTAGTTCACTTTTCTGGAAGCATATCTCATTACAATATTTTAGCAGACAACAAGGCAGGATCAAGCTGCTTACAGAAATTAAAATGTTTTGTTTACCAATGACAAAATTTGATTTTTCAGAACAGATACATACACTCATGGTAAAAGCCTGATCTGGTGAATTGCAATTCTGTTTTATGAGGTGTATTTTTCATCCTTTTCATTTAGATGTTTTTGTGTTCAGGGCCACTGAGAGTGCCCAAGTGTGTGTGATCCTCCACCATATCTCAGTGTAACCTTTTGTTCTTTCCCAAATTTGGTCTGCTGTGTGTGGATGTATCAGTAGGCCTCTTTAGATTGGAGAGTACTGTAAGAGTTCAGGAACCTTTCCTCCAAGCACAGCAGGGGGGCAGCAGAGAGCAGTGGCCAGGGTTCTGGGTCTATTACTAAAGTTGGTACTATACCCCTGTTGCCTCATTGTGAATAATTACCACAACTTCCACAGAGTTAAGCCCTACTGGTCTATCCCATCCAGGGGTAGGCTTGTATTTTCTGTGTGCTTAACGCTACAAAACCAAGATTACCCAAAGCAGGCAATAGGCTTAGGACAAGGCATGGCCTTATCTCTAGAAAAGAGAAAACATAATAAAAGATGTATTTCAGTGCTATTTAGTAGTTCAAATGGGTAGCTGTGTCAGCATGTGTAGGCTGCAAAGGAACAAGTAAAGGTTTATTCCATGCTGAAAAGAGAAAAAAAGTTTATTTTCTTCTCTTTTCAGCATGGAATAAACCTTTGGTTGTTCCTTTTCAATGGTATATGCCTTTTTATGTATGCAATACATGTTACTATTCAGAAAATTAGCTTTACTTTAACATACACTTCTCTTACCCCATAATGAAAAACAATTCCAGTTCAAAACATTAGTCAATAACAACTGAAGCTAGCAGCTGCAGTTGAAACCAGCTGATATTCTGTTATATCTGCAGCTGGAAGATGGACAATTTGTGACCTCTGTATTCTGTGTGTATTGTATAAATTCAGTATTTATGTTTCTTTTGGAAAACATACATGTGATTGTTGTACAATGCTGAGAAAACATATCTATTTGTTTTTCGTGGGCAATATCATGATAAATGTTACCATGGGGCTATTTTGTTTTCCAGAAGGATACATTGTTTGATGCAGAATTATTGTATGTAGTCAAAGACATTATGATGTTCCTACATCTTTCTGCAGTGCAGCAGTCATGTGACCAGATGGCCTGGCTATTTTGTTGGCACATGCCCAGGTGATTTTACACAGAGCCACTGGCTGTGTGGCCTGATAGTTTAGGTTTGACAATCGGACTTTAACAAAGGTAAATATCTTTGTTATTACTCACATATTATTATATATCACCAAAATATATCTTGGTCCTTAATGCTATACAACAATGTATCTCAAATATAGACTACTCGATTATCACACACACTCACGTGATTGAAATGATCAGATCATTAAAGAGTTCACAGAGGTGAAATGTAAAAATGGGACACAGTTTTTTCACAGATGATCTGGCACTTTCCATGAGAATGGAAATGTTAGTTTCCAGTCTAGCTTCAACTTGAGAGTGCGAGGAATATGTGAAGAATTTCTGGTAGATAAACAGGAGAGGTTCCTTCTTTGAAATGAGCAGAAAACTATCTATAACCGGAAGAGAAACTCACACTTCATTTTGGATAAAAAATCTGACTATTTTAACTAACACAAATGTAATATACAGGAAAAAGCAGTTTGTTCTCCACAGTGCCTAACAGGGACTACTGATGATTTGGAAAAAACAGCATCTTTTGCCAATAGCATCTGGCCAGCTCCAGGGAAGCAATGTGATATGGTGAGTTCTGGATACCCTTGCCTAACTCAAGCCTCACCCAGCTCCACTTGTGGCAAGCTGAGGAATGCTGGTTACTCAACTGGCTGATGACATACTGGAGCTCAGGCCGGACTACCACTGCCTGCTCTTTAGGGCTGAAAAAGCTGTCTGAGTAAGTGACGGTAGTGCTTGAGAGCCAGGAAGGAGCACCGCAGCACCCTTGTTCCAATTCATGGCTTTCCACATAAAAACTTCACAAATGGTTTTCATGAAACAATCCCAGAAGAACAGATACCAGACTGACCTCTTCAGTTCTATAGGAAAGCATGCGTTTTGGGTATTGGTACAAGCAGATTGAATATTTTATGAGATCCAAGTGATCTGACTATTCCTTGTCAAACTGGCTGTTGATGCCTTAGTTTTTATATTGTACTTTCTTTGATCCTTGAAACCATGAACATTTTCTGTAAATTGAGTCAATAGTCATGTGACTTCTAAACTTTATTCTGCAAATCTTCCAGCACACGTAGCTTGTATACCTACAGTAAATCCTTCTTTATCATGTTTAAATATACGATAGGCCATTTAGAAAATCACCAACTATATTTATAGCCTATGCATATTTGATTTGGAATTTCCAATTTTGTAGTAGACGTGGTTTAAGGATACAATATTGGTACTGTGAACATGCTCCTCTTAATGCAGTTTAGAGGAGAAGTATGTTTTCACATGCCTACTGGAGTAACTTATTTGTCTACCTTGCAAACGTCTGCCCAAAATACCCAGCAACAGTGCGCCTTGAGAATTCTTGATCACATTTAGCTATTGACATGATCCAGGCTTGAATTAGCAGAACCTGGGTCATAGGAGTCAACCTACATTCTGAACAAGAGCCTTTACCAGATGAGCTGCCTGTACTTGGAAGTTCAACGATTCTTTTAAGAGGTGCATTTTAAGTATTCCTGACACCCATTTGATAAGTCTGTCATGGTTTTCCAGAACAGTGCCCTGTGGTCGTCTTCTCCTCCTGCCAGCTCCAATGACAGGGACATTGTTAGAGGACAACTTCAGGGCTGAAGGCAAGTGCTTGTCCAGCCCAGAACTGGGACAATTTCCACATGGTGAGGCAGAAACACATGAAAAGAGGCAGAACTACCAGAAAAATATTAGAACAGCTCAGTTTACTAAAACTTACTGTGTGGGACATACCTGAGAAACATAATTGCTACAATTGAATGCAGAGATGGATGAGCAAGCAAGGCTTCCACAAAGTAAGAAATTATTCAAGAAGCCCGTCCTTGGCATTGGAATACTGTAAATGATTCTGACACAAGAACTGAAGGAAAGTGGTGGAGAAAATCACAAGCAGTAAGTGTTAGCAGGGTGTTTTATTGACAGAAAAGAAAGAAGCATTTGCAAAAACAAAAAACAACACACATCAGAATGATATTGGTGATTCCCAGGTGAAGTCTGGTGATATCTTCAAATTCTTAAAATACTGCAAGTACTGTTTATTTTCTACCAAAAAAGAAGAATATGCTTAGAGGAAAAAAGGAAAACAACACTGTGTTCCACAGTCTCAATCATGACTGTCTCTGTTATGGTTTCTGTTATAACTAAGTATGTTAATATTGTAGGCATAGAAATAGGGACGAATGCAGCAAAATATCAAGAGATCTTGCACTCTGATATGTTACCTACAGTAGTATTCCAGCAGGGTAATGAACCCAAGCATTATTGCAAAGTCTACAAAAACAAACGCAAAATAAAAGTCGCCTTCAGATACCCAGCCCATACCCGCTTGACTCAAAATAAATATAAAATTAATGTGTCAAACATTTACCAGATACAATCCCAGGCTTAAAATAAGGTTCCTCTCCGACAGGTTTAACGAAGTGAACCGTTTTAGAACACAATGAGGGGACCTTATTCAAGTATTCAAAACCTTACAATACATGAACAAAGTCATCTCAGTCGAGCTCTTCAGAAGCAATAGCATGACAAGGACCTGAAGACAAGTAGATTATGGGAATTAGGAAAAAGCCCCTTTATTAATCAGAAGAGGAGGCACAAAGGGGTGGGGAAGTTTGAAATATCCTGGCTTTTTTCAAGAAGCATCTACAGTAGGTGAGATCCGCGGATCAGTTAGCTACTAGCAATTAATGGTCTGCATATCTGGTAACCTCGTAACCTTTCTGTTGCACTTACAACCAGACACCCATTTGCACAATAAAGCTCATTTATGAGAAATCTCCTGGAGTGTTAAGAATCTGTAAAAAGTATCAAAAACGAAAGAACAACAGCATGCGGTTTCGCCAACAAACAAGCAAAGAGATCACTAGGAAGATTACATTTTTCTTTAGTTTGAAAATCCATGGATCGTGAGTAACCACGCCACTTTAGTTCACTTAATTGTAGTCCGACACAGAAAACGGTACGTTTCTCGCTGTACTGAACCCGCGCCGAGAAGTTTTCAAACAAACCCGGAAGCTCTGCTGATATCTTTCGAATATATATTTTTAAATTTTCGTTTTCTTCCAGCGGTCTGCAGCGTGCTGAGCAAGGCTACGTTGACGTGAAGCAGAAAAAGGGGGCAGGCTGCGTCGCGAGAAAAGTGCGTGTCTTTTAAATGGAGTGAGGAGGCTGGAGCCACGTTTGACTTGGAGGGACCGGGTCAATGGATTTGCTAAAGGAATAAACTAAAAACAAGCACTTCTCTCTCTCTTTTTTTTCCCTTTCTCTTATATGGCCTCTGCTGGAGTAGCATACAGTAGCTAGCTAATAGATACGCCATTCCAGACCATGGCTCCTTACGTTTTAGCAATATTACAGGTCTTTCTGATTTTCATAGCTCAGCCGCTGCCTTCGTTTTCATGGGATACTGATTTGGAGCTCTTTGACCTCGTTGAAGAAATTCCACAGACTTTTTATGAATTTCTCGGCGTGGCACAGGTAAATCCCTTTATTTATTTTTTTAAAGGTCGGTTTTAATGTTCCATATATGGTTTCCTTGGATTGGGAGAACTGGCTTCCGTCTTGTACAGTCAAACACTGCCGGAGCCTTGAGCTATGGGTGCACGGAAAGTAGCGGATAAGCATGTTGCAGTAACAAAACAAAACAAAAAACAAACTTTAAAGATACGGTTGCAAAGTATCGACTCGTGCTGTCTCGTCCATTGCCCTGCGCTCCGCTCAGGTTCGGAGATGTGTAGTTTCATTTTCTCCCCGTCAGCGAAAGGTTGATTTTAAATCTTACTGCAATTTGAGTCGGATACATTCAGCTTGTAAGAGCCCTTCGGTTTCTGTTATTTTGGCAACAGATCCGCGAAGACGCAGCTGAAATGTATACCTCAACAGAGCAACTCCGTGATGCCGCAAGCAGCACAGGCTTACTCCAGGCTTAGGGCCTGTCCCCGGTGGATTTATGTGGTTTACAGACGACAATTATTTAACTCGTTACTGGATCTCATTTTAGAATCGGCACTGTATTATTCGATGACGTGTCATTTTCACATCCGTGGCAAGCAGCGAGGATCTGCCTTTGAGCTCGGACTAGTTAGTAATTCAATTTTATCTGGCCCTCGAACACAAGCAGAGTTAGGCATAGTTAACATGACTGTTTTTGACATTTTTGAGAGTCTTGAACACTCATTCATGGATGACATTTCGAACGGATGCTCTGAAGAGCCAGCTTCCAAGCACAGTCCCCTTAAGTACTGTAGGTATGAGAACTGAAACAGAACTGACATGAAACGCAATACTACTTCTCTTACAGTTTTAAACATAATATTGAACGTTACTGTAAGTAGTGGCTATTGTATTCAGTTAAAAATTCTGGGTCTATCTAAAGGGCCAGTCTTTGTGGTTCATAAGTTCAGTACAGTGACTGCTACATGTTACATATGAATCTTGAGGATCATTTTTCCGTTGCTTAAGGGACGTAAGTCTCTCAAGGTTTAATCAAATCTGAAATAACATGAAGACCAGTTAAATCTATCACTAAGGCAGCGGATAACCATCATCTCTGTATAGGTATACCTATGTAATATAGGGGTAGAGATAGCAAATGGTACATTTATTCTGTGGTGTGTAAGTTTAGTTCTTCAGCTGCAAGCCTGTGGAAATGTAGAAGTATTCACATGGATAACCTGTATCTTAAAATTAGCTTAAAATATCTCGATCATAAATCTTTATTAGGGTAGCATGATGGCACAGTGGTTAACACCTCTGCTATTTGCAGAAAGTTTGTATATTATCCACATGTTTGTATTGGTTTCCTCTTGGCACTCCAGTTTCCTCCCACAGTCCAAAGACATACTGGTAGGTTAACTGGCTTCTGGGAAAATCGGCCCTGGGTCTACCCTGCCTAGAGCCCATTGCTTGCTGGGATAGGCTTGCAGGGGATCTACAGCCTTAAATTGAATGAAACATTTAGGAAATGGATGGATAAGTATTAATTATCGGATGCCAGTGTGAATGCATTAAGTGTACTCAGAATAGCTTATTATATTTTTTTCTTACAATTTTATGGTGCTTTTCAATCCTAAAGATTCCAGAGCCCTTCATATCCCCCTCTGTCCTCCACTGCGGTGCAGCTCACATCTGGGTGACGTGTGGCAGCTGTTTTACCCCTGCAGCCCCAACAACTACAGAACAGATCAGGCAGAGATATGAGAAATTACTCAACTCTGGCTTAGTGGCAGGAAATTACTTAAAAAGTCTCCTTAACTCTTACACTGGAGATGTGGCAAAAATGGCACCTTATGGTTTAAATGCAAACTGTTGCACCTGGTCTAAGCCTAACCCTGCATCCCGACCAGTCAGCACCGTTCCAACTGTGCAGCACAGTGGCAAATCCTAGAGGAAAACGCCCCTAGAGGCACGACAAGCGGTATATAAACCAGTAACTATATGTTATATATTACCAGTAACCAGAAGTACCAACAGGATGAAAACGTATGCAATTGTGTTTTATGTGTAAAACAAAATGGCCAGTTTCTTTGTCAGAACATAGCATATACCACTAATAGCTGCTATTTAAAATCCATTTGGCCAATCAACTCCAATCATGGATAGTATCTTTCTAATGAAAAGACCATTAACTTCTGACCTGCTGTTGCCCCTCCATATATGAAGATGGCCTTTAGGCTACCACTTTATTCTCTCACCTCAAGCCACCCATGTACAGTCAGGCTATACTGATTAACTTGAAACTCCTCAAATTTCTTAAACAGCCAAAGCCGCTGATAATTTGCACCTTACACGTTGCTGTAATCGCTGGGCACCTGGATTCAAGTCCTGGGGTGTTATCTGTGTGGAGTTTATATGTTCTCCCTGTGTTTGTGTAGGTTTCCTCCGGGGGCGCCGGTTTCCTCCCACAGCTCATGACATGCTACACTTGATCTAAGGCAAAAGGCTGAGAAGCGACGACAACTCATGACATACTGGTTGGTTAATTGGCTTCTGGGAAAATTGGCCCTGGTGTGTGTGTGTGTGCTCTGCGATGAACTGGCGTCCTGTCCAGTGGGAAAGACTCTGCAGCCGTGGATTGGATGAAGCAAGTGCAGGATGTATGTATGGATGGATGACAGTTATCACCCTATTATCAGTCATGTCACCCTGTGACCCACAGCTGGCAGCCCACTGAAGCTCCGCAGGTGTGAGTCTGGTCAGTACCTGGATGGGAGACCTCCTGGGAAAGCTAAGGTTGCTGCTGAAAGAGGTGTTAGTGGGACCAGTAGGGGGTGCTCACTCTGCGGTCTGTGTGGGTTCTAATGCCCCAGTAGAGTGACGGGGACACTGTACTGTAAAATAGGCGCCATCCTTCGGATGAGACATGAAACTGAGGTCCTGACTCTCCCTGGTCATTAAAAACCAAGGGCATCTCTGGTGTCCTGGACAAATTTCCCATTGGGCTTTACCAATCACGGCCTCCTAATAATCCGCATCTATGAACTGGCTTCATCACCTTGTTCTCCTCCCCACTGATAGCTGGTATGTGGTGAGTGTAGTGGTGCAATATGGCTGCCGTCGCATCATCCAGGTGGGACTACACATTGGGGGTGGTGGAGGGGAGTCCCCATTACCTGTAAAGTGCTTTGAGTGGAGTGTCCAGAAGAGCGCTATATATAAGTGTAAGGAATTTTGTCTTAAGGCTGTTTCTTCAGAGTTCAAGTGCTGCCTTGATGTCTGAAAACATGCAAGAAGAGAGACATCTCTCTCCTCCAACCGCTACGCTCTCCCATCCCCCACGAGTGCTTTCATGCCACTCAGTTATTATTTCTTCCTGATATTTCAGTTACCATGTCACTTTTTCACTTTGAAGGCCTTGCAACGGTAGTTTGTGCCTTTTGGACACATCAGTCCCGTTTTGAGCAGCCGTGCTACATCTTTTTAAATAAACAGACCCACAAAGGCAAAGGTTTTGTAATGACCCCCCGACATAATTTAAAGTGTAGCTTCTCTTCTCCTGTCGTAAATTTATTACACATAAAGTGGTGCATTTTCCTATACCATATTGCCATTCCGGACATGAATTAAATCTGTGCTACTGAGTATTGTGCACATATGTCATCAAAATGGGAAAAAAAGAAAAAGAGGTGAAAGAAACCAAAATATTTTTTTTTTCTCCTGTGAATCTTTGTAAACTGAGAAAAATCTAAACGTTAAATGGGGCTATTAGTAAAAATACATGGTATTTCTGTATCACCCCTTTAAAATATGGCAATGACTTTTTTTCTCACTCATCAAGCTATCATCAGGATAAATAACGTGATTGAGGCGCTGTACCGACCGTATTAAAATGATGTACAATTAATGCCAAATGTGAAGCACTCGATGAAAATTGGTATGCGTTTTGGTTGGTTTGTATTGTGGTAATAACGTATGGAATTTAAGTTAATATGAGAACAAAGCAAAGAAATTCTCCAATTATTGTGTTTTAAGGAAGTGGCTTCTTGAAAAGTTCTAAATCATTTGAATTGAAAATTGTAAAATTTGCATGTGCTGGTATCTGTCGGTATGCTTTGACAGATCTGTTGATATGCTAAGATGGTCACAATTGGCCATTTTCATGTGGATTGAGGAAGTTTGATAACTATCCTTGTTCAATAGAGCTGTCTTCTGTGTGAGAAAAACTGTAAGTGCATTGCATTTGATAGACTCTGACCTTGACTTATAATGCAGAAACAAAGAAGCTTTAAGGTACACTTTTGTATTTGCGCAAAAAATGGTTTCACTGCAATTTTGACTAATTGTGACTCGATTGTGTAGACGCAAATTTCCGTTTTGTGAAAAAGACGTTCTGCTTGGATGTTTTCCAATGCGTGTACTTGTCAAAACTGAAATGAGAAACGAGCTTAATTTTTAATGTTTAAAAATGAACTGAAGAGGAATCACGGGCCCATGGACTGTAACTGTTCTGTATCAGGCCCAATACAGTATAAACTGCATGTGCAGGAAAGTTTAACTAATCAAGTTTGTAGTTTAACTAATCAACAGAACAGATAAGATCCAGGGAAAAAAACAATGTACAGTGCTTTTGAAGAAAAACTGAAACTGACAATGAAAGGTAAACAATGTCTCAAAATCTTGTTATCCAGAAATGTATCAAACTGATTAGTAGTATGGATGTAAGGAAATTACATGGAATGGACAAATTAATGTGACTCAATCAATGAAAGTAATATCATCATAATAATAAGCTTCCCAGAATGCAATCCCACGAATCCCTTCAATGATACAGGACAATTTTTGGAGGCACAGGAAGTGTACAGTTCCATAAGGATTTGCTTTACATTTCTTCCTCTAGCTCCTAACGATGATTTAAATATATTTTTATGTTGAGCTGACGCCTGTATCTTGCTTTATGACTAGAAAAGGCAAAATCATAGTTTTAGGCATGAGCCGGTGAAAATGAGCAGAAAGACTTAATAAATCCCCATTCTCCTGAC